CTATGGAGCTACTTCTGAACATGGCTTTAATGCTCTTCTAAAATACTGAAGCCATGCTCCAAAATAGCCTGCCCCAAAGGCAACAAAGGATCCAAAATAGAATGGTCACAAATCTTTTTCCTTTCCAAGCAAACTAGTAAAAAGTTTTTTTAAAAAAAAAAAAGCAGAAACATATTAAATCCTTTGTTGCAAGAACAGCAGGAAATTTGTATCAATGGTGACAGAATCAACAACACAGCTGGTAAAACTCAGCTCTTTTTTTTATTAGAATCAACCAATGTAGAACATGGGACAAGGATTCTTCAAGAAAGCATTGTTTTCTTTGCTTCTTTTAATAAAGACCTAGCACTTTTTTCAAAAGAGGAATATACTCTTGTTTATAAAAAGTCTGTGTAAGATCTGAAAAAGGCACTGCAAAGTACCAATCAAGCATTAAATGGCCAGATGTCTCTGAGAAAATCAGTTCCCTAGTATTTCCTACATCCCAAGCTAGAATAGTAATTGGGAGCAGATTTCAGTGATCAGAGATCTCCAACCCACTGCAGTCTAAACTGGCCAACAGGAACTCTGTAGGTCTCAGTATGAGTTCATCAGCAGTAAGAGTGTTAATGAAATATGCTATGTTATATCTGTGAAAAAATGTCAGATGAAGAGGAAAGCACTAACTTTACAATTGGATCAGCTATGTGTGACCTTAAGATACTTCAGCTGTGCGATGGGGATGAGATACGTGTCATGACATTTTAGAAAAAGTAGCAGGACACGTATGATAGTCAGGAAAATTTGAGGATGAGACTTTAATCTCCAGAGATGTGAGGCCTTGCTGTAAAAAAACATGCAAAATGGGAATTTTATCTTCAATAGATCCTGAAATGAGTACGAATGCATGTATATTTTTTAGCTCTTATGGTTTGTAGGAGCTGCATAGCAGGAAGAAATACAGCAAGTGAATATCTCTTTCACAAACATCCTGAACTCTACTTTCACACTGCCCAGTGTCACATTTCACACATTAATTTCCTTGGTTTTTATATAGGGGAAGCCAAAATAAAATGGCCTGGGAAGATAGGAAGAGAGAAATCACCCTCTTCCTGGAGCAGCCTTTCTCCTTTTCACTTTTTGCCACCTGAAGGTCTCATGCGCGGAGAGAAAGGCTTGCAAGCTTTCTTAGCCCATATATCTATGGCATAAATGCAACAGCTGTCCATTTGCTCGCAGCCGGCCACACTTCCTTCTCTCTTAGCTCTGGTAATTATGGGGAACGAAGCAGCTCAGTGGCGGGAAGCTCCACTCAGAGAGCCTCTGAGGGGATTCTGCAGGACCGTCGACTCTTGAGGGGATCTGCCCTGGGCGGTGCGCGCTTGTTCGTCAAATCGTTCAAATGACTTGAGCTCCTTAAGTGCTACTTTCGCGACCTTTTATTGATCCCTCGAGGAGCCGTGCTCAGGGGGAGGAGGAATGCGCGCGCCCTTCTCCCACCTCACCTCTGCCTTTCACCACAGCCCCAACCCAAGCACAGCCGCCACCACACACGGTTTTGGTCTAAGCCTCCCGTTGACCGCGGCGTCCCATTGAGACGCGGGGCCTGTTTGGGGCTTTTACAGTAGCTTTCGCGGCGGCGCACAAGCCAATTCCAGGAGCCCCGCGGCTTGGAGCCGCGCCCTGATTAATACCGGAAAGCGCTCTGATTGGGTGGCGTCCTCCCCTATGCAAAAGAGCTGAGGGAATGACATTCCTCTGGACTCTCTTACTGTAACAGCAAATTCATTTCCAGTCATCTCCATTCATAGGGCCAGGAGGCGCGAGGGAGAAGGAGGGGGAGGAGGGGGAGCCAGGCTTTCTTCAGATCAGCATGAGCAAACAAACAGCGCCTCGCAGAAGGTCACACACAGCTGGAGAGACTGGCCTGTACGGGGAGCAGATCTCGGGAAAGCTTGCCGTTGGCGTCTGGTGAACACGTGGACACTTTTTCTGCTTTGGGAACGCGAATTCTGCCAGGAGGAAGCTCCGGTGTTTGGCCGATTCGTACTTCGGGAGGGTCTTGTTTTGCTCTTTACAGTGGAACGGCGTCTTGTTTTGTCTGGCCACCGCGCGTGTTGCTAGCCCTGTTTGAGAGAAGAAACAGACCAGTACAGCTAAGCCTCGAGTTAACGTTCAATTTGTGAAGTTAAAGGAGAGCGCGCGAAGGGAGGACTGAGAAATGAGGGGGAAAACCAACGGCGGTCCCGAAAGCAGAGCTCCACCTGCTTGTGGTTAAACCATAGCTGAGAAGCCGGCCCCTGTGGGTGAATTGGAGGAATATTACTTCAGATATTTTCCTCCACAGTTGGCAGTGACTCACGCAGCGGCCACAGAGTGTTGGGTGACTTCAGACTCGTGTCTTCTAAAATTGCTGCGAACATTAACCACAGAAAGAACCCACAACCCAACCAAAAGAGTGTTTTTTTTTCTCCCTCCCCTCCGGGCGCGCTTCAGATTGTTGGCACACTGACATCTCAGGACTTGTACAAGAGTCTTTTGAATTCAAGCAGCCGCTCTAAGTAATTTAGTCAAAGCATTGCGAAACCGGGACAGCGAGGCTTAAGAGCAACGCGAGGCAGACTACTCACACTGGGGTTCAAGGCTACTCTGGCTGGGGAGAAAAGGAGGCTGCTGGAGAACATTAATGGAGTTCCGTTGTGTTTAAATTCTCTATAGAGTCAGCTGTAAATATTTGATGAAGTACACTATATAATGCTGTGATAGCCGGTTGACCTTTGAAAACCTCAGCTCACGTCCTCTGCAGCCTATTTCCCCAGTTTCTTTTTAACCGTTTTTCTCCCCCATCCATGTTTGCGACAAAAAACTGATGCGTTGATCTGAATTCTAGACATCCTTTGGGAGCAGCGGGAGGGAAAGACTATGAACTTCGAAAAATAATAGGAAATTAACTACTGAAAAGACTAGGTCCTTCCCTCTCCTTTTCTGTGGGTGTATGCGTGGTGGGGGTGGTTTTGTTTCAAACATTTCCTCTGCTCAAAACGTTTCTCAGTGTGTGGGATTTCGGAAGGACCTTTGATTTTAATAACACTGGTAATTCCCCGAGGGGGTGGAGAGCAGAGAAACTTGTCCAAATCTATACGGCCATTTTTAAAGGACACACACAGATTTCCAGGGAAGAGCAACCTAAAACTGGATGCTGGGTTAATTCTGGCAGGACCAGGAGCCCCGGTGTCCCCCTGCTCTGTCCAACTAGTCCAAATTCGCTCCTGGAGTGGCTTCGCTTCGTTTGCCCCTTCTACACCGGGACCCTAAGCCTCTTTCTTTTTATGTTGGTCTCCCGAGAACCGCCGGCTGAAGAGTTGCGCTCGTGTCGCTTTATCCGAAGCCCTCTGAGGACCTTTTTCACTCAAAAGGCTTGTTGTGATGCGTATCCCCGTAGATACCAGCACCAGCCGCCGCTTCACGCCGCCCTCCACCACTCTGAGCCCGGGCAAGATGAGCGACGCGCTGCCGCTGGTCGGCCAAGAGAACGGCAGCAGCGCCCTGGTGGGGAAGCTGAGAAACGCAGATCGCAGCATGGTGGATGTCTTAGCCGATCATCCGGGAGAACTGGTCCGCACCGACAGCCCCAACTTCCTCTGCTCTGTCCTGCCGACCCATTGGAGGTGCAACAAGACTCTGCCGATCGCTTTCAAGGTAGGAAGGTGGGGACAATGAATTGGGGAGAGGGGAGTGATCACTACAGAAGTATAATTGCGAAATCATATTGAAGAATGGGGGGACGGCGATTTTTCTGTCACCTTTTGCAGTGGACAGCCAATCTCCCAATTCATTCGGGAAGATATAATACTGAGGGAGGATTCCAAATAAATCCTCAATAACTTTAGGGTTGCAACCATGCCATTTATGTGTACTTAATCACAAGTGTGATCTACTGATAACAATGGCACTTACTCCTACAGCTGTCATTAGTTTTGCAAGCTAAAAGTGCAAGTTGCTGTTCTGAGTTTCACCACTGATTTATGCCATTTGTGACTTGGGCTAGGTTTTGAGAGGGTAAGAAATGGCAGCAAAAAGAATTTGTCATTTCTTCTGATTTCTTTCAATAGGTCTTATTTCCAAGGAATCAGTTCCTTTCATGTTTGTAGAAAAGTGCTCTGGAAATTGGTGAGATTTACTAAAAAAAAAAAAAAGTGCAAGCATTCTCACCCTGAAAAACAATTCCAAGAATATTTTGTGAAATAAATTCTACTTCCTCCTATCGGAAACAAATTTTGCAATTTTACAGCACAACCTTATGCACTTTTTTTCAGAATAATCCCCAGTTTTCAATGTACCTTAAGATATATGAGGTCCAAACTATATTAAGAGTATGCTGCCAACACAACAGGGTCACTTCCATGAACAAGCTTGTATTGCAATTTCATATGGTGCCATTATAATTGGCATTAAGTCTAGATTTTATTTTAATGTTTTGAAATTTATATTAGACTGATCCAGTGCATTGTAAAACATTTTTTACTTTTTAACTATATAAGGTGGCAGCATATACTCTGAACTTTATCTCTTTATAGTCAACACCATCTGTGTAGCCTTATGAAGATGCACTTTTGCCTAAGTACATAAATGTCGGAGGGATGCTAGGATAGACCATGCAGGTTTTTTTTATTAAGGACAAGCATTGCAATAATCAGCAGGCCTTGAAGAGACCATGGCAATTGGCTAGTGGAGATTACAGTATCCTTTTTACCTAACCTTGCTGCATTCAACCCAAACAACCTGATGTTGAGACTATAACTATTGTATCCAAAGCAGACACTATTAAGAGCAATCAGTGGATGGCAGTGGGGTTTCTTCCTATATCAGGGATCAGCTACCAGCCCAACAAGAGAGATCAAAAGATTTCATGCCAGGAGGTTCTTGGAAAGCAGATTATGACATAACAATTATCTTGGAAAATATTTCAAGGGAAGGTGGATCAGATCAAAAGATTTCATGCCAAGTCAAAATGTTTCTCTACCCTGTCTCCCCCTCACAGTGGCATCAAAATGAATTACTACCAGTATCTTCAACTCCAAGACTGTTAAACAGAAGAACTGGGATCTATAAACTGATTGTCATATTTAAGCTCTTTCATCTTAATATCTATGACATACCTGCAAGTGGAGTAGGTAACTGCAACAGAGTTGCCACACGCCCTTTGTGTATCTGAATTCCAGGCAGACTTGGGGGTCTAAAAGCAGATCAGATTTCCTGTGATCAATTTAAAGACTATTGAATTCAAATGTCTGAGTCTTAATTGGAAATTTAGAAGTTTGTTACAAAGTAATTTTCAAAAGCTAAATGAAATGAGTTTCCTAAATATATTAACAATTTTGTTTAACTATGGCAAGCAGTGAGTATTAACTCCTTTTATTTCATATATCAAAACGTTGGCCTCCATGTACAAAAAATCAGAGTAAAAGAGAAAAGTTCACTTTAAAAGTACTCTGTCTCCATAGTTGCACTTCATTTAACAACTCAGCCCAAGACTTTAGCTACATCAACTTGGAGAAAGCAAAATATACATAATGACACTAATAAAAGAATTAATGCTTGAACTACGAAAATTATAGGCTTTTGATTGATGTTAGGATCCAATTCCACCAAAGGGACAGATCTGGAGCATGTTTTTCTGCATCTTGAATTTGTAACGAACAAACAAAACAATTAACGGCCACCCTTTCCAATTGCCCATCTGTCAAAATATCTGAGAATTTTTTCCCAAAGCTGGGGAGTATCTAGTATTTGCAATTTGGTTAAAACTAAAAACCAAGACTTCTTGTAGCAAAAGCCGCACTTCCCTAAAGCAATCAATAATTCCGCGGTGCAGGAACCTTGCTTTGTTCCTTTTGATTCAACGAATGGTGCGTTATCTAAACTTAAAATTGAGGCGACCCAGAAGACACATTCTAGGATTCAGAAATAAATACTCGTATATATTGACAAACGAGCTTCTAGGTGCAAGAACGAAAAGGGGAATTCTGTACTGAGTAACAATTCAAAAAGAGTTACCCATAGAGTTTTAATTCTGATACCTATAAGCCTACGTGGATCTCACATAAAGTCCCACCAATCACCTAGCCAGCAGCTACTAATACACGTGTCTAATCAGTGACCCATCAAGGCGATAAACAGAATCTTGTCAGATGAGTTAAGGCTGTTAATAAATCCAACGTGCCTAGACAAATCCGGCGGAGGGGCTTCTCAAAAGAAAAAAAAAATGTATCAGAAAAGCGCCGTAGCTCTCTTCCAAAAAGAACGACTTTGTAGTCGTTCGGTATTCTTCAGAGAGTTGCTCTGGGGGCTATGATTTTTCGGCCTCCTCCTGAAAAGCGGAAGTGCGAGACTAACAACGAGAAACGTGCCCAGATCCTGTATACTTTGATTTAAAAACCTTCCGCTAATCATTTCATGGGCTCGCACCTGTTGATAGGTATTTTAGCAGTGGAACAACATTCACTCGCGTGTACTTCTCCACCCCTTTCTTTTAGCAAAGGAAGACTCCGATTTCTTGCCTTTTGGTTTAATCATTTTTGACCAATTACTTGGAACCGGTCTCATCAGGCAATCAAGGCCTGCGCCTTGTTTGCCTTTTCTCCGATTCTCACTTGTGCCCTCACACTTTTCTGGAGCGTGAACTTTTCCTGCCACCGCGCTTGTAGTCGTACTGAATGCACTTGGAAAAGTACAGGCGCTACTCGAGCCCGTTAACTGGCCGAAAAGTGTCTTCTCCCACCTCCCCCGTTGCTCTTTTTCTTTTGAAATGTCTTGGATGGATTAATTATTTCTGTTGTCTAAAAAAACCTTTTCCACTTTTCTGCGACGGTGGTTTGTGCACCTATCTCTTGGAGAATCGCGGGCTAGTGCACAGGATAGAATGTGGTCCGAATAATTGCAACACGTGTAAACTGTGCCCCCAATCTTGCTAGGACGGATCCAACCGCGTGGCTAAGCATTCGCTAGGTAGCCTTTTTCCTGGCTGGTCCCACGTGTGATCTTTGTAAATTCTTGCTCTGCACCTAGAGCTTAGCAAGTCCCGCTTATCTTAGACCGAAGCGTCTTGATTTTTTTTCCATTAAGAAATGTAAGTCACTGTCTCCGAAAACTGCTTATTTTTCCTTTTTACCACCAGTAAAATCTTAGCGGCGATTAAAAGTAGAGCCGTGAAGAAGCGACTTCGTTAGAAGACCGCGGTGTAGTTGTCAGATGTTTCACAAAATATTTCCCTTCCAAGAGGCTCTTAAAAGGCAATGATCTCTCCCCGCCCCACCGCCACCTTTGGCTGTGCTTCATTTTTTTCACTTCCCTACCGGCTGACAACCGCCAGAATATGCTTCCTCTTTTATCTTCATATTTGAGCACAGCTCTTAAATAATCACTATATTTTGGCTGGAATGTCTTCCTGGTGTTTTTTTTTTTTAAGCAGCGGCTAAAGTGAGAAACAAGGAAATGTTCAATTCCATTTCTTCAAGATTTTTGTACTCCAAACAGCTGTCCTGTAAGATTCAGCATCAAATCATTTTGATTATTGTTTCTGACTGCACCTGTCATTATTCCTAAGAGTAACTCCTTCATAGAGTCATAACCAAATCCTTTACCAAGATTGATGGAGACTTACCAGAAATACTTGAATAATATAAGGAAGAAGTTAGTAATGTGAAATTATTATTTCAAAAACTTGGATCCATAAGAGTTTGCTTTTTGCCAATGTTTTGCAAAGCATTTCACAATATAAAATAAATTCTTGATCTATTTGTAGAAAAGTTATTTCAAAATCAAATATTCAATTAGTTTTGCTTTTAATTAGAATTAAGGATAAATGTTTTCTGGCAATATTATTTACTTGATTTGATAACAATGAATTATCTCACAAAATTACTTTGCCTTAAATGTCTTAAAGGGAGAACTTAATATTCCAATTAGTAGCCTTTAATAGTATGGTTGCTTTAAACATCTGATATTCCATCCAGTTTGCGTAAAAACCATTTTTGTAAACTCAGCAATCAAAATGCTAACTATCTCCAGTCAGCAAGTTCTAGCTTATCTGTTTAGTCTGTTTTATAATGTAAATGTTTGTGTTCTTTGACTTTTTTACAGGCTTTAATTACCAGTCACATTCTCCTGGGCCTACAGATCTTTTCTTATTGTTTTTGCTAAGGCCTTACTAGAAATTTTTCACCATGTAATAAACATGGTGAGTTTAACAAATATGCTGAGTACTTTTAAGGCATAAAAATATGCTTGAGATCTTTTAAAGCTATAACACTCATATTAAGAAACATGCAGAGTATTAATATTTTCTAGAATATTTTCCAATTATTGTAAATATTGTGCTAAATTTTCTTAGTTTAACTGTTTTTCATCACTGAAAATATAAATTATTGTAACTTGAGGAATACTCCTGAAAAAACATGATGTCATGTTGTCTAATATATCTTGAATTCTTTATGCTAGAAATATCTAAAAGTTTCAGCTAGAAAAGCTCCAAATCTAATAATAGCAACAATAATGTATTCATATTGCGGGCCCAATTGGCAAAAGAAAGCACAGGACCATACAAGTTGACAACATGCAGAAGAGACCTTCATCCTGCAGTGGATAGGCAATGGCTAAAATGATGGTGATGGTGATAAATTTATTAAATATATATGCTGCCTGACTCCTGTCCATTCTGTGCAGCTTACAGATTTTCTTGCATATTTGGATTACTCAGAAGATTTTGAATATTTAATATTTATTATATGAGGATGAGGATGGAAATAAAACTTTAAATAATGAATTAAGGAGGTAGCATGATTTTTTTTCATTTCTGTACATTTAACCTCAGAATGACTGAGTTTACACACTACATTCAGATATTGACAACAGGATTATAATATCCTTAGATAGCCTTCAATCCTAAATAAGACTTCTCATTTCTCCCAACCGGTCATTCTGATTATTGTACAGCTCCCATCATTTGCAATAAACAATTTTGAATTTGTCTTGGAATTCTTCTGCCATTAATTTCTCCTTAAAACATTTGTCTGATTTTTTAATTTTACATCACTATTTTATTACCCCAAATATGTTAAAAAGGAAAACAAAAGTAGTAGCAAGCAAATGTGAAAAAATAGATTTCAGTTGATGCAGGAAGAGAAAATATTTCTAAAACTGCCCTGAATCAGCAGGAGTCATCTGCATTTAATAAATTATGGTTGGTCCCATAGTCAACCAGATGTTTAGACTACATCTGGCATTTTTGTCCACCTATTGACGGCTTCTGAAGAACCCAGAATAGGCAGGTGTTTTTGTTCAATAATATTAAAGATATTGTCCCAGGATGCAAGCTATTCCATTGACTAATAGTGATTTTGTCAATACTAATGGTGTTCAAGTAGTGCTATAGATGTTTTTGGATTGCACCCAAGGTACCTATAACTACTGGGGCTATCTTTGATTTCCTTTGCCACTTTTATTTGCAGGTCTTTGAGTTTTATGATATCCAATGTCTTAGTTCTAATTATCTATGTTATACTAAATTACATTGATTTTGAATGTGCTTCAGTTCAGTGAAATTTGTCACAATTCAGAGAAATATAAATGGAAAAAAGTGAATGAACTAAGCTATTAGTACTTAGTGCTTAGGTACAACTGTGATAAACTCTCAGAAGTAACAATGGGATAATAGAACACTCTGAAAGAAAGAAAAATGACAAAAGTAAAAAACTAAAGTTCTGCATAATTGGAGGGCATATGGCTGGATACCATATAGGATAAATTACGAAAGAAGTGGCTATGTAAGTTCAATAATAAGATGGTTATTGTTATAGCAAGTTATGCATAAGACTATTTATAATCGAACATAAATGAAAATGCAAACTTTCTTTATCACATCTAGAGGAAATATAGAGTGAAATCACCAGAGCTACAGTTTGATAAAACTTTTTTCATTAACACATTATGTAAGTAAGCATCTTATGTAAGCAAGGTCTCCTTATAACAACTCACTGCAGTTGATGTGATGCATGTACTACATTGTTAATAGTAAAAACCTTTAAAGTTGTTGTTCTTCTTGCCTTATAGAACAGGGTAATGTACTTTCAAACGGTCTACACATTCTCATAAATTAGGATTTTTAAACCATGGATAGGTGGGTATGTCTTAGAGTATGACTCATTCACAGCAGTAAACCATGATGGTTGGAACTATATATCATGCTTAGGCAAAAGCAAACAAAACATTAAATGATAATATTGTGTGAGCACCTAGCCTTTATTTAGTTTGGAAATGGGTCAGAATGATTTGCAGAGTTGTTTCAGAAGATCCAAATATAGTGATAAAAAGTGTATGAGAAATAAAGTGAGTGTCTGAATGTCGTGAAGTGATAGTTCTGATTCTAATTTATGATCTTGTCTGAAAATGTTTGGAAGTTCCTTTGATTATTAGTCAGGAAACAAAAAGAAAAATACAATAGTATTATCTTTTTTGCATCTGTCACTGTTCAAAGCCAATTTCTTTTATGTGAATGTGGGCTTCATCTTGCTTAGAAGAAACTAATTGAAAATCAGGGGTTTTACTCTATATGTACTTCAGATGTGGTTCCAACTCAGTAATTACATAGTAAGGGTATTTATTTATTTGAAACAATTTGTTTAAATTAATTTATATAAATGGAGACTACACAATAAGGATGCTTCTTTCTTGAGCTATATCTAGTATGCAGTGCTATCTGCTGAATCATTAACACAATAATGTGTTAATATATTGATTGTAATGCTAGGCATAACTTAAACCACATTGCACTTGGCCCAAAATGAACTTTGCTTAGTTGATTTCTCCTGCATCTCTATATATTTATTTTGTACAAAGTGATTCTAATTCATTTTCATTTTTTAACAGTTTATACACTCAAATTATTTAAAAGAAACTTAGTATTTTTTCATTTACTTTTTTAGGTGGTTGCATTAGGAGATGTCCCTGATGGGACTTTGGTCACAGTTATGGCTGGAAATGATGAAAACTACTCTGCAGAACTCAGAAATGCTACTGCTGCCATGAAGAATCAAGTAGCAAGATTCAACGATCTAAGATTTGTCGGCAGAAGTGGAAGAGGTATGAAGTTTTTTATAGTTTTAAAATCAAATATTAGCTTAAAAAAATATTGAGATCCTCTATTTGTGGAGCCCTTTGTTGCAGGTGTCAAGTCACGATCTTCTATTTGTCATTTCTTTTCAGTACAATTTTGAGGATTTCAGCATGTACGAGGCTGATAGAATTATTGCAGATTAATGTAGCATATTCATCATTTCCACATTTCAAAATATGTATCCGGCAAAGATGACTAGCCATAATATATAATAAAAGGTTGCAGTTAAAATATGGTGATATCTAAAAATATCAAAATATAATTCCTGCTCTTTGGAACATCTTGCCCCTCCAGATGGAGGTTGGCTAACCTTCTGCAAGAGCTTAAAACCCTGGCTCTGCCAGTTGTCATATGCCTCTAACAGAGGGGTTTCACATGGGTGTTTTGATACATTAATAGCAGATCCAACCTCCCCCGCTTCTCAATTTACTCCCTTTCTCCCCATTTTTAAATTGGGGCTCAGTTATTAGATCTTTATTTTATTTATGTCTTTTAGGCTTTGTATATTTTTATCTTTTCAAGATTTTAATCTGCCCAGAGTTACCCTGTGGTATGTGGGCAGCAAATAAATTTTACAAATAAATGAATAAATTTTGTTTTATTATTATAGATACCTCAGAGTCATTGCAAAGATATGAGGGTGAAAGTATATATAATGGCAGATTGGCAACTTATCTTACATTTGTTGATTTAGATATGTTAGTGTTGATTTCTATGGATCCTGTTCCCTAATACACATACAAGATTAATGCACAATCTTGAGCCTGGATTCAGATTTAGAAAAAATAATTGAATAAATGTGGCTTATTTTTGTAATCATTAACTTGTTTCAGTCAATCTCGCCTAGCTAGAGCAATGCCCAGTTATTACCCTTGTATTTTATATTAGTTATATTTATTTATATTATTTTGTCTCTGTGAATATATGTACAAAAGAAATGAAATTAACAATGTAGGTTTCCTCATTGGGCTGCTGTATTTGTTTGAAGAAAGGTGACATTTGAGTAGTTTACAAAGTAGTTTAAAAGTTATTCTTGTTTATTTTGTATTTGGAATTAATAGCACAGTTGAAATTGATTTGATTCATTTTAAATATAATCTAGCTTTTTGTGGGTATTTTATTTTTAATGCATTTTCCCCTTATATGCAATGTTTTATTGCTATAAATTATGTCTATGATTGAATTGGGACAGTATGAATGTGTTTAATAAGTGAATCAATTAAGCAATCAAGACACCCCCTCTTCTCAGTGTCCAAATCCAAATAAAATATTTGTGACAGATGTCTATCTAGGTTCTGTTTGAACATATTCAATAAAGTCTACCACTTTTTGAGGTAATTGGTTCCAATATCAAACCTTTTTATTGTTACAATCTATTTTTCCAATATCCAGTAGAATTTCTTCTGATAAACCACTACAAATTATCTTGGACAAGTTTACACATACAACTAAACTATAATAACAATTCTTAGATTGGATCAGAAGGATATGCAAACTCAGACATTAGCACCTAATGTTATATATAAACTAGGTCACTTTGGTTCTGTGTGGTAGAGAAGCAAGCATACAACCCACCGAATGTAGTAAGTAATATAAAATCAATTTTGACAACTTATCCCATATTAAGGACAATTTTCTCCTAAAATAAGTGACAAAATCAAGTCACTAATATTGAAGTAAGAAATAGTTTATGTTCAATATGTACAGTGATGGTAGAAACCAAGTTTGATACAGTAATCAATGTGTGGGATTTGGGCCAGCCATATTCTCACAGCCTAGGAAGAAGGGAGTGGCAAACCAATTCTGAAAATGTTGCCAAGAAACTGCATGGATGTATTTGTATAGTTACCAGGTTTTATAGTTGACTTGTAGATACAGGGAGTCCTCAACATATGACCACAATTGAGCCCAAAATTGTTAAGTGAAACATTTGTTAAACGAGTTTTGCCCCATTTTATGACCTTTCTTGTTATAGTTGTTAAATGAATCATTGCAGTCGTTAAATTAGTTACACGGTTGTTACGTGAATCCCCATTGACTTTGCTTGTCAGAAGGTCGCAAAAGGTGAGCACATGACCCTGGGACTCTGCAGTCATCACAAATACGAACAAGTTACCAAGCATCTGAATTTTGATCATATCACCATGGAGATGTTCCAAAGGTTGTAACTGTGAACAATGATTATAAGCCACTAAATGAACTGTTGTAAGTTGAGGACTGCCTGTCCTCAATTGAAAAACATTTTGNTATATGGTGTTCAATTTGCTATAAACCTTTCCTGATGTATGATATCAGGACATAGACAAATGAAAATCCAAGGATTTTATAATGTTTTAAAGTATCCCCTAGCATATTACAATATAGAAATAAAACAACCTGCTTCTAAAAGACTAGGATACTCATTTGGATGAACCAAAAAGATGATTATTGAATTATGACTGTAATTCTTCCCATCTGGAAGTCCCTACTCTAATTATTATCTATTTCAAGAAGAACTGTCAGAGAAACAAAAATCTTAAATAAATGTAAACTTGTAAAACTATAGAATCAAACAATGTGCAACTGCTGGGCTACAGAACAAATAAGACAAATTTTGAAGGAGTGCAATCCTGCTTATTGGGAAACCTGGATTCATATTCTCAGCTATTTTTGGAAATTTCTTGCATTTCTCAGCCCCACAGGTTGCTGTGTACATTGTTGTCCTGAATCTTTCATTCACAGCTGGAAACTAGATAGTGTGATGGGCTTCTGTACTTTAAGGTACAGAAGAGAGAGATATCATAGGAAAATGAGATATTTCTTTTTCTAAAACTAAGCTCAACTCAGGAGCTCTTATTGTGTACTTTGGTTCTCAATATTCTGAAAAGGGAGAAGCACTGGAAAGCATATGACTCTCTGTCCTGGGCCAAAAGCTTTTGGAATGAGGCCTGACTTTCTGAAGAAAATAACATTATCTTTATAACTGAGCCACAACATGTCTCAATGATTAAAGACTTCGGTCAAATTTTGCAAGATAGTTTGTATGCCTCCAAAGGAACACAGAATGGAGTTAGTGACCTAGCATTTGAACAAATGGGACTGCCAGATTGTTGCATTAAAGTATGGTGTATCATCCTTGAGAATGCAGAAAAGTATGTTTGCACGAAATTTGCTGCCTGGATTGCCATGCTCTACTCCCAGGCAAATCAAGGGAAGTGACCCGTAAATTTTCATGAGTTTATTTTTCCATCTACCATATATTATCTGAAGCAGGAAAACAGCCACCCATCATTCTCCCTTACCCAGGGTTTGGGTAAGTATAAGAGAAGGCCTAGCCACTGGTCACAGATGCAAAGAAGATGCACTATGGAGCTACTTCTGAACATGGCTTTAATGCTCTTCTAAAATACTGAAGCCATGCTCCAAAATAGCCAGAATTTGGAGGACATGGGATGAAATGTGAAGGATCAATCCATAATGACTAAGGGAATGGCAGTGCGGGCTCCAAATCCAGATCTGCCCCAAAGGCAACAAAGGATCCAAAATAGAATGGTCACAAATCTTTTTCCTTTCCAAGCAAAGGAGTAAAAAATTTTTAAAAAAAAAAAAAAAA